GTCGTTAAACATAAACGTATTGTTTCCACCAGTGATGTTAGCTGCGTGAAGCAACAGCAAACCAAGAAACTGGATGCAACGGTGTAGTTTACTGTAGGAGGCCGTACGAGGCGATGACAACTGACATGCATCGTGACGTCGCTTACATTGTGACGTAATGTGAAATGGTTCGATTACGAGGGGGCACACTAGAATGGCGCAGTGACGGGAAAACGTCATTCAATTGTTCCGTCATCAAAAAACTATACCTTTATTGTCTGATAATGTAATTTTTTTTCGATTGTTCTAACCGCTAGGCATATTAGAACGATGCTTCTAAGATACCTAGCGGTTAGAACAATCGAAAAAAACAAACATTATCAGACAATAAAGGTATAGTTTTTGTGATGACGTAACAATTGAATGACGTTATCCCGTCACTGCGCCATTCTAGTGTGCCCCCTTGTAATCGAACCATTTTACATTACATCACAATGTAAGCGACGTCACGATGCAAGCATCCTCGTACTTTAACTATAATAGTTCAGGAAACTGTATTTCTTAAATCGAACCATCGATGGACTGCATTTGGTGAGACTCCGATAGCAATTAATCGATGGTAGAAACGAAAAACTATCGATGCATCGATAGAATGTGTGACTATCGATAGTTTAGTAACTGACTTTCGTTGATAAATGATACACCGATACACGTGTTGTTGAAAAGGACATTGCACAAAATGTTCTGCTCTATCTCCCCTTGCCAAAAGATATTTGGCAATTCATGCTACGTCAGTGCCATTTTTTCCAGTGCTGGCGATATTGTTACTGCCCAACGATCGTCTTTGAGTCCTGAACATGTGGATCGCTTGCTGTTCCTTAAAAAGAGCTAGGAAGTGTAAAGCTGTCACTGACCATTGAGTAACTCTGTTGAAAAACGAACATCAGGAATTGCCACATACCTTACGGCTAGGAACATTGCTGTCCCCCATGTTCTTGAAGAGTACCACGTCACTGTTTAAGAGTTGTAACTTAACTAACCTATGCACACAACTAATAAGTGGAGGATTTTAATATTTTAGAAGCTGTTCAAAATCAATCGCAATAATGGATGTTAAACTTTGTGAAGATTTTAGAACTTATGTAAATTAAGAAGATGATCATGACATGTATACCGTTTTGTAAATACTATAAAACTACGTCTTCTCTAATGCAAAGTCTCCTAAAACAAATCTTATTAGTTATGAGTCAACTTATAGCTTTTAAAGTTGTTACTGTGGTACCTTTGAAAAGCTGTCATTTTCACCTATGTTGGAAATTGCTGTTATCTGTTCTTCTTTGAGTGGGGCGGTGGGGTAGGCTAGTGGTTAAAGCGTTGGCTCGAATATTGCTAAAAGCGGCGTAAAACCATACTCAGTAAGTCAGTCTTCTTTGAGTCTTGTCATCTGCATTGTGACTGAAAACTGAATATCTTTATTTAAGTAAATGTGTTGTCTTTGACTTGTGACCACTACTTTTGATTGACTCAAGTAAGGACCATTTCTTCATACTAGTGGTTGAGATTATAAAGTCAGTCTGTTATGTTCAGTCAATTTTTTAGTTTTTTTTACATAAAATATGTATTTTCATTGCTAAATGGAATATAAAATTGTAAGGTGAGGTGAAATTGGGTTTAACGTCGTGCTTGAGAATATTTCGCTCATATGACGACGTGCATGTGTGTGTATGTGTATGTGCGGCTGCTTGTACTAGCCCAGACTTAAGCTGGTTTTATAGTGCTAGCCCACTGAGATACCATGCCGCAGTTAAGCATGAATTCCCCACTCAGGCACATTATACTGACTCCGATCCGACCAGTCCTTGTTGTACCCATAATGCCGAGCGCCAGGCAGGGACCAACAGGTACCATATTTTAACGTCTTTTGGTATGACGCGGTCGGGGATCGAACCCGCGACTTTCCGCTCTCCGGGCGGACGCTCTAACCACTACAGGTCGAATATAAAATTGTACTTTTGAGATCAATATTTGAACTATTTGTGCTAAATGAATAATTATATTTCACATGGTGTGATACTATTATACCCTTGTACTTGACATATGACTGTAAGTGTTTTGTAAGAACTGAGCTCTTATTGAAGTTGTTGAGTTAATGATAATTTCATATTAATAATTATAAGTTACTATGTTTATTCAGGCACATTTTGAAGTATTCAACTTTCTTTTTTGCTAAATCCATAATCCTAGTTTGACAATATACATGATATATGTTGAAACATATGGTTAAGCTTTGGCATCTGTAACTTTTCAAAATACTCCTTGACTTTGATCTGGACATTTTATTATTGTGATATCTCACTGTTGTGTTCTGAGGACTTACAGCAGTTACTCTATCAGATGTGAAATTCCTAGATACTTTCAGTTTTCATGCTCAATCCAAATGCATATTTAGATGGTTATTTATTTATATTATATATGTATGTTGTTTTGTATTGTTTATTGCTTGGGTGCAGACTTGCAGCTTCATTAAATATTTGTTTCAACTGTTTACTTGATCTGGGTTTCAAGCTTCAGTTATCAAAAGATACTGACATTACTTCAACTTGTTTTTATTTCATATAAATTATACATTCATTTGAGAAATGACTTCAAATGAGGCAATTCAAGGAGAAAAGAAACTATTGCAATAGTACTGCTCGCAATAGACTGTCGCTATCGCAATAGTTGTCCCCCCCTCAATAGTCACCCCTAATAATTATCATGATAAATAACAGTCTCTTACACTTATAACATTGTCCTGTGAATACAAGTATTCGAGTTTGGACCAAATAATCCAGTGACTTTATTAGCAAGCATTAATTCCCCCAGGGTACAGTGGCACACAAACCGCCGAACTTGCCCACCACCTACTTCGTCACCAACTACTGCAGGATAGGCTGCTCGGTAGTGTGTCCAACAGTCCCTAATGACAAGAAATTTATTTCAACCCAGATTTTAAAGAATTACTGAATGCTCCACAATATTTTCCAACAATTCTGAATCCACCATCTCACTGGGGCTTCTTTTAAGTTTTAATATTTCTATCAAAATGATATAATTTCAAAAACTAAGCGTGAGTCTAACTATGATCCTATTCTGGCATGGAATCTCCAGGTTCAAAGTACGTGTGCAAATTGAAACAGTTCCACAACAATAGCCAGGCTACGAGTCCAGAAGCAGGAACTTATACAATACCACGACCAATATGGTCTTCTTAATGATACTCTACCGTCATGCCCTTTCATGCAAGGATACAAATAGTACTTTCTATTATTAACAGACACAAAACAAATTACTCTGGGGATGTATATTACACTTTGGCATGGCATGAGGACACTGTAACCATCACCAACATCAGAGCGCCGAGGAACTCTCCGCTGTACAATAATTACACGCACAATACATCACAAACGCCAGCATGCCCACTCCTTAAAATGGTCGGAGAGCGACTTTCTTTCAAGTCTTGATAGGTATTATGAATGTATATATATAACCTGCTTAATGTCTGGCCAGGGAGACCCAGGTGGGGATTGATCCAGCATCCTGAATATGACTTTGAAAGGATCCCGAAAAACATGCTTCCTTCCATATTTCTTTGGTCAACAGGATGCAATGTAGGAGGATGATTGACATAAGCTTCCTTCGTTCCATGGCATTAGAAGCCACTGATAGTGCCCATAGAGAGGCCAAGGGCGTTATTACTGACATTTAAACAATGTTATAAAATATATATTTTGTTTTCTTGTTCATGTACCAACTAGATTTTCCTCCGTAATTTTCTTCATGGTTTAACAGTGTTCTTAAAATCAGTGATTGGGATTGGTTTAACAAACATTTACATAAACATTGACCTCCTCGGGAAAACCCTCTAACGGGAATGACAAACCAAGGAACAATATCACGGTGAACCAGGGATTCCAACACACGACGGTAGGTGTAGGTGATGGAATTCTTTACCAGGATTTGCCGCTCTTTTGAGTGAGTGCGTGAGTTGGGCTTTAGACCGCTTTTATTATTAAATATCAGGGGCCACAAGGAATGTGCTTGAATCATTGTACCCATATGGGGAATCGAACCCGGGTCTTTGGCGTGACGGACGCAGGCTTGAGCCACTAGGCGACCACGCCGCCGGAACGTTGTCCTGTGCGTTCAAAAGGTTCTATTGTAGAGGTGTGGAGATTTCCATACTTTCCCTCTCTGTACAGTAATGTTTGGACTATTGTCGGCTGTGATTGTGAGGGTGCCGCTTGTGGCAGGATAGAACACCTTTTTGCGAACAACTGCTGTGTTCAGTGGTTGATACTACGCGCAGTGCACTTACTTCAACATCAAGAATTTAAGTGAAAATGGATAACAAAGTATGGAGTATACATACGAGTCTAGAATATTACAAAAGGTCGGAAACACGCAAGACACCACCTTTAACGTTAAACCAACAGAAAAGTATTGAATATACCACAACGAAATGTGATTACTAAATATTTGAAACTATGGTTTTCAAGACAGAAAATAATTTGTTTTATGCTACTCAACAGAAATTTATGAACACTTAATTCATTTCTCTATATACATTACTATATGCCATGGCAACGCAGATTATGATAGTATATTGTGAAAGAATCGAGTATTCGTAGTCTGAAAAGTATTCAACATGAGTATATACCTACATCCTAATTTCACGACCCGTGAAGATCCGGGTTAGAATTGATCTTCAGTAACCCATGCTTGGTGTAAGAGGCGACTAACGGGATCGGATGGTCAGGCTCGCTGACTGGGTTGAAACATGTCATCGTATCCCAATTGCGTAGATCGATGTTCATGCTGTTGATTCCTGGATTGTCGATTATTTACAGACAGCCGCCATATAGCTGGAATATTGCTGAGTGCCGCGTAAAACTAAACTCACTCACATCCTAATTTCACACTTAAATATGTCAGCTTCCATACTTTTGGTACAGATGATTTAAAAAGTAAATGCGTATATATATATTTTTAGACTTTTATTCAAACAAGAAATATGTATTATGTACATTATAAGCGCAACAACAATGAATAAATATATCTATACATGGAGACCCTCTGATGGAGGTCTGCTTCTAGACCAGAGAGAGAGAGAAAGTGACATACATAGTATCGTTGGGACGGAAGGTTTACTCTATCAACGTGCAAAAACACGGGAATAGGACAACTAGAATAAATGCAAAACATTTGTCTCATTCATCATGTAATATTTGGACGGAGAATCCTGCTTGTACATCAAGATGAACTAAAGGATGATGAATATGTTGACATACATATAACATCAACTGGGAGCGTTGGGGATCCATAATGGGGCCATTGAGGACGTTGGGGATCAAGATAGTACATGCGAGCATGAAGGGGCACAAAAACAACTTAATACACATCAAAGAACTACAGATTGTTGAAAAAAAAAAGTTTTGTGCACAAATGTGAGAGGTAAGATGAACATCATCATTAATATGCAAACAACTGTTTTCACCAAAGATTTCTGATAACCCCATAAAAGCAATAAGTGCCACTGAGTGTTTGGCAATCATGTATCACTGATTGCTTCTGTCCACTGTGCCCGTTTGTCTTTGTATGAAACATTTCAGTAACAGTGCTTGGAGGTGCTTACCTGTAAGCAATTTGACTGTTTTACTGGAATGTTTCATATTTCAACTAAACTTGTGATTTTGGAAACTAAAAAAAATTCACATATAACATGAAACTGTGCATAGAGTTGTCGAACTTACCTTTTCTTTAACAATTTTTCTTTTTACAAACACAGGAAATTCCTAATTATTTCTGATTAACTTTCGCCCTAAAAAAATATTTTGTTCTGTTGGTCTTTTTTTCAACTAGGCCCCAAAATTAACATAGTCCAGGTTACTTAAAGGTACAAGTAGGAACAATACCTTTCAAAGTAAGATTGATGGAAGAACTAGTATCTGGTTTGCTAACCTCATCAACACAAATGCTTGTGGAATGTAAAACACAGCTGATGAAATGGCTGTATTTACCCTGTGAGAACCTGTTGTAGTCATGGTTGAGGGGGTGTGGGATGGGGAGTTGGGGAGGGGAGTTGGGGTGTGGTCGAGACAGTCAGAGGAAATGTGAAGATATAAAATCTAAGGCACAATAACATTCACCACAAGTTGACACAAGCCATTGGATGAAATATCTAGGCTGGGTTTTAATACTTCAGTAGGGTGAAGTATCTAGGCTGGGAACTAAGTGTATCACAAGTTGCAATTGACATGCAGTAGGGTGAAGTATCTAGGCTGGGATCTAATGTATCACAAGTTGACACATGCAGTAGGGTGAAGTATCTAGGCTGGGATCTAATGTATCACAAGTTGACACATGCAGTAGGGTGAAGTATCTAGGCTGGGATCTATTTTATCAAAAGTTGACACATGCAGTAGGGTGAAGTATCTAGGCTGGGATCTAATGTATCACAAGTTGACACATGCAGTAGGGTGAAGTATCTAGGCTGGGATCTAATATATCACAAGTTGACACATGCAGTAGGGTGAAGTATCTAGGATGTATTCCGATATATAGAATAAGATAATTGCTGCACCTATTTTCAAAACTCAAAAATAAAGTTACTGAAACACGTCATCTTTTAAATTCGAATAGGGATGTACAACCAGTCTAATGATAAATCAGATAACTAACACGGTTACTGTGACACCTGACATACAAATATGGTATAGAAGGAAAATAACAAAAGTAAAGTTATTAAGTAAAATAACAAAATATGACTAAAGTATAATTTTTGACTCCAACATAAAAAATGTGTCCTACTTTCAATGATAACTGTGAAAATGTTAAAAAAGGAAACAGAAGCAACATTCAATCAGAATAATGACTACAACGGGTGAAAACAACTATAATTTGTTGGGTAAAAATAGATTTGGTAGAATATCATGTTTAAACACGTCGTCATGGTAAGACATTGAGATCACAAGAAAAGTGTATAATCAAGAGCAAATTAAAGGATGCAGGCACACACCAACATCTTTAGTACATCATGTGGAATGCATGTGAGATCGAACACTTAACTAATAAGTAAGAGTAGAAAAATAAGTATTTTCTACCAGAGAAAAAAACACAATTTATACAGGCACATTAACAATAAGTTGATTTACATAAGCAGACTAATTATGTGACTTACCAATTCATACTTACAATGCCACTTTTAGAGTTTGAAAGAACAAAATAGTTCATATCAAAACCCAACTATTTACATTGTCTACTTGTCTATTTAAAAAGACCAAAATGTATACATGTTACACATTTGCAATTTGAGATGCTAATAGAAACATGTATTTGGAAAACTAATGATAACAATTCCACTGAAAAGGTACACAATCATGACTTTATACATATTTGCATCACAGATTCGTTTTTTTACAAGAATGAATGAAAACATATCTACATAGGGTTACATGTCATGGATGTTACAAAAAATATTTTGTTTAAGAAAAACAGATTTAAAACTGAAGAGGGACATACATGGCTGTCATGTCAAATGAGTAGATACATTTGTGAGATTAGGTTTGAAAAGTTCCTCAAACTGATCTGATGAATTGTATGTTTAATTCCAATTCCTGTCTACAAGGGTGTTAGGACAGATAACCACTATCCCAATCCTTATGACATGTTAGCTGTTTTGCCTGAAAAATGGAATTTTAAACATAATATTCATGCATTTTCATTCACAGCTGAACTGAAACTTGTGGATGGAATTCTGTTCTGTCATACCTAAGAGACCTTCTGATGCAAAATTTATACATACATATTCATCTTCTGAAAACCAACAGAAACACGTGAAGGACTTGCAGGAATAAAATTGAAAAGTTATTTTCACAAATATTCAAACCCATTTGATTAACCAATTATCTACAGTATTTACAAATGTCATCAAAACTGTCACTCTAATAATTTACTCTGAATTCGAAATTGAACTTACAGCAATCAACACTCTACAAAGAATTCTTCTCATTCAGAATGGAGACTTAATATGACTGAATGCTTGAAGATGTTGTCATGCTAATAGTATTTCATTCTGCCAATGGTCATTTCAACATATTTTAAATGTAAAATAACAAATCATGGATAGAAGTTCTCTCTTTGCATATTCTTTAACAGAATAAAATACATCAACACTTTATCAAACATTTAGTAGCCTTTTCAAAAATGTGTAAACTGATTTTGGCAAGAAAACTTATTGCAATGCCTAGTAAAGCTTTTATACCATACACTTATCTTAAATATTAAAATGAATGGATGAGTGCTGCAGTCTGATTTTTTAAAAATGTTATTAAACGGGGTTAAAGCTTGGCCTATTGTACATCTGGACTTTAACCCATTGAACACGAATATGTTTCATTATAAGTATGAAAATACCTCAAATATGAAAGTGAGTGAGTTGAGTTTAGTCCGCTTTTAGCAATATTCCAGCAATATCACAGCGGGGGACCCAGGAGTAGGCTTCACACATTGTACCCATGTGGGGAATCGAACCCAGGCCTTCGGCGTGACGAGCGAACACTTTAACCACTAGGTTACCCCAGTGCCCTGCATCCAATATTGACTAATACTTGTCCCAATAAAGATCGGAGTTAGTTGATGTTTGTTTGCATTTACCAAGGTCTATTTAGCGGCATGGTCATGGCAGCATATAACCTCTTGCATTGTATCATGACGTCACAGTATTCAGGGCTGATGCCACATGTCCATTAGCTGTTAAGCTACAGAAATTAAATATAGAAAACAAGATTGAATAATGTTTTATGACGTTTCGTACTCATAATGGCATTAAACAATATGTGATTTGAGAATTGCAAGTCTCACTGAGCTTTTAATGATAATAATAAAAACTTCGAAATTTATGTTTAGGAAAACCAAATACTAAAAACTGATGTTGGATTTCTCGAGTAACAAATTTTGGCTGATTGAAATATAAATTTCTACATACTACATTTGAATAAACGAACCCCCTGTGTGCTTAGAAACAGTGGGAAACTTCTTACAATATTTACAAGTAAATATTTTGTCCCAGACTATCTTACAGGGTACTTTAAATGCAGATGAAAACTTTTTAGACGATAGATACTTGTCTAATATGAAGCCATTCTACATTGCTGAATTTTGTAGAAATACATATGCAATGAATGCATGAATCTGATTACTGCCATGTTTGTATTCAGACTTAACACACTTAATAAACTTTCTGACTGAGAAGTTTATCAGTTTCCATTTATTGAAGTGGGGTGCTTAATGCACAAATATATAATGAAATATCCAACATCTCCCTAGGCTTTGCTGCAACACCAGTTCAACTCACACAATGTTCAACTGACTGTTGTTTCCTGGATGATAGATTAAATTTTCTAAACTATTCATTAGTTTAAATGTTAATGTGAACGACAAATACCATCATCTTTAGAATTATTTGACCTTATGGAATATGACAGCTACAATATCTGCTCTACATGCCAGCCACAAGTAGCACCATGTGGCACTCATTCCACCACTGTTTCGGAGATACCAATTCCACAAACTTTTCAAGACAATAGCATACCGAGCAATTTTAAAGATATCAGTCTGAAAAGAGTAAGCCATAAATTCATGTCTAAGAGTTCAAAATACGGCCTAATGTTACATGTTTTGCAATCATATTTCCTTTGATATCATTAAAACGAGTTTCAAGAACTCTTTTAGTGATATTAAAAATACATAAATTTAGTTAATTAAAAAAAATTTAATTAAAAATATTTCTTACCTTTCCAGGTGCTAAAATGGCATTATGTATATGACTGGTATAGAGAGCAGATTACTTAGATTACTTTAGTCAGAGCACTGATCTTTGAAATATACACTGTAAACATTTATATTGCTGAGTACAGAGTCTGTATGGCCTAAAGACGTGTAAAAACAGTCAGTTTTGGGCATTTACCTAGTGATTGCTTCTGTCTGTCTCAGTGAGTAAGTGAGTCAACGTTTTACACCACTAGCAATTTTTCAACAATGAACCGGTCATTTTTTATAGGGGTGGGTTAATGAGAGTAAACCAGGGATTATTCTCACCATAATATATGACAGCCTCAAGAGGAGGGTAAAAAAACGTTACACAGGGTCACAAAGAAGTTTATAACAAAATAGAAATTTTGTCTTTTCAGAGAGGGTCATGAAACAATGTACAAGGAGATGAAAAGGATCATCGTAAATACGACAAGCTTCAGGGGGTCATTATTATCTGTACATTGGTGTCTCAAACACCCTTCCACCCGTTCCCCCACCCCCACTAATACTGAGAACAAGAATTACTGTTTACGATTTGGTCATGACAACCAATAATTAAATAAACCTTTCTACTTGTATCTATCACAGGGTGATTAACACAGTGACTAGTTGGTCTGCTTAACTACAGGGCACAAATTGACTTAGGTTGGGTAGAAATGTACAAGGTTGAAAGACAATAAATGGTCCGCAAGACTTCTGAAGAGCCAGCCAGACCATATGAACTAACAAACTGCATGATAACACTAACACATACCGTTCATTTGAAAACAAGGAAAAACGTATCACAGATGCTAACTTGACAGTATTCGTCACTGTTTTATTGACCAATACAGATATTCCATCTACTTTGATAGAATGTTATTACTGAATATACTTTACTTTTAGTTGTATTTCTATAACTATTTCATTTTGAAAGTGTCTCCATTACATAATTAAATGTCATTACATGTCCTCCATACTCCTGTTGAACACAAGAATGTGTTGGCAAAATGCTTCCTCTTATCACAGAAAAAGACATTCTGAACAGACTAAAACCATGTGTTCAAACATTTGGTCATGGGGAACTTAGAAAAAATATTTCAGCCATTTCATAAACTCCGAATTATACAGAAAAATATTCAACATCAAAGATCACTTACCATTCTGCTAGGATATGGTTGCCATAGCAACAATGTGATCATTTGTTTGTGTGGTTGCCATGACAATGATGTAATTATCACTGTTATGTATATGTACATACTTGCATGGTTACATCTCTTCCTGTTACCCATCTGTACCATGATGAATAAAGCACTATATGACATAATGTATATGGCTGCAGTCAATGGTGCCATCAATTAACATGGCCGTTCTATAGGCACGGATATAGAATGAATGGCTGTTGGACAGTGCTAGACATTCATCCATTGCATTAGTCTCTTGTGAGATAACAATCCTTTGAAAGATTTCTTAATTAGATTGTAACACCAATTTGTCCTTGGACCTCGTTAGAGTTTGTTGTATTGTCCCTCTTTATGCATCCATTTCTTTAAGATGAGGAATGTCACCAACATTGTCTGGAACTGTAACCTTCCACCATCACAATTGGACTGTACCTCACTTTCACTCCCTCACTATCACTGTCTCTCAATGAGACGCTGACACTACTTTTTCACCTGATGAATGGTCAATCTTGACTGTCAGTCTCTCTCCTTTGTTGTCTCTCACTGAAAGTGTCCATGATTGACATATCTTATGGACAGTCTCTCACTGACTTTAATTATGTAACATTAACGCCCCATTCAGGTTGCCATATCTTTGGGTCAAATCACCCCTCCTTCGATCAAACACTAAATGGCCTGGCGGGCCCCTATGCGAAATACACAATATGTCGGAAAGCGCATGTTAAATCTCCAAATCATCATCATCATCATCATCATCATCACCACCACTGACTCTTCTCATCATCATCATCACTGACTCTCAATGAACTGTGCATCAGGGACATTATTTTCTTTTGACACTGTTTCAAGGGCATTGTTGACACTGTTTCAAGGGCACTGTATCTCTTTGACACCAACACTGACAGTGTCTTTCTTTGCCACCATCTCTCATGGACACTGTCTCCTTGACAAAACATCTCATGGACACTTTCAAATTGGCAAAGTGTCTCATGTCTCCTTGACAAAATATTTTAAGGACAAAGTCTCTTTGACACTATCTCTTATGGACACTATTCCTCGTAGGTGTCTATCTTCTTGTCAATCAGAAAATCTTACCCATTTCTCTATCATTGAGTTATTCTTCAAAGCTCCATCAGGCATCAATGAGGTTTCAACTGTCCCATTACTTATAAAAAATATCACACATAAGGATAAGATCAAGAGACCAACAAGGATGCAGAAGTCACCAACGTGGACAGCCTGCGACAAAACCACAGACCAGAATGAATAGCGTCAAGGCTTTGTCGCTTCAGTCGTTAGGAAGCAAACACATAAGATCTTATTACACCACAAGTCGGAACAGAGTCTTAATCCAGTATCATATTCAAATGCTAAGAGTTCCACAGAAAGCATCAGTGAGGGCAATCCTGTATCCCAGTTTAATTGTCAGCTTTTCCCTCATGCATTCTTCTCAGTCCTCGGGAACAAGAAGATTTCATAAACGTCTCAGGAAAAGGAGATCAGCTCAAACACTCTGCTGTTGACAGGTAAGTTTCGACCTTTATCTGTTCGTCAAATCTTCTAGTTGTTCTTCAAATAAAACAATATCACACCAAAAGTATAAGTCATCCAATTATTATCCTGTAAGATGCACCAGGATGAGGCCTAGCTCCTTGTGGCTAGGATCTGTGACCGGGCTAGGTTGCATCCGGGCATGGGATAATGCCAATTTCCACCAGGACGCTGAGAGTGATGAAGACGATGTAGAGGAGAAACATGATAGCTCCCAGAGTCCTGTTCATCTTCCACTTGCTGGCGGCAATGGTGATAATGACTGCCACAAGCATGATGAAGAGAAGGACAATCGAACACAGCAAGCCCTTGCTGCTCACATCAATGCCAGCACCTCCCTGGATGGCACTCCACAGCAGCCAGGGCACCGGCAACCTGAAAATATATACACTTGTTCTCAACTCGTCTTCATCTCATGCAAACGTTGAACAGTGCTGTTTCATGTGACTATTTTAGTAAATAATGCATGTGGGAATATATTTCACAGGATTGGGAACCCAATCCTGACTGACTGACTGACTGACTGCCTGCCTTATGGACTGACTGACTGACTGTCTGACTGACTGACTGACTGCCTTATGGACTGACTGACTGACTGTCTTATGGCCTGACTGACTGACTGACTGACTGCCTTATGGACTGACTGACTGACTGTCTTATGGCCTGACTGACTGACTGACTGACTGACTGACTATGGACTGACTGACTGACTGTCTTATGGCCTGACTGACTGACTGACTGACTGACTGACTGACTGACTGTCTTATGGACTGACTGTCTGACTGACTGACTGACTGACTGACTGACTGACTGACTGACTGACTGACTGTTGACTGACTGACTGACTGACTGACTGACTGTGACTGACTGTCTGATGGACTGACTGACTGACTGACTGACTGTGGACTGACTGACTGACTGACTGACTGACTGACTGACTGACTGACTGACTGACTGACTGACTGACTGACTGACTGACTGACTGACTGACTGACTGACTGACTGACTGACTGACTGACTGTCTTATTGACTGACTGACTGACTGACTGATTAACATCACACTCAGCAATATTCCTGTTAATCGACTCCTACGACAAGCATGGATTACTGAAGACCAACTCTAACCCGAATCTTCATGGGTTGCTTTAAATTGAATTCAGCAACTCTCCAGCTATAGGACAGCTGTTGTAAATAACCCACGCAGTTAGTGTAGGAAGACACCAAATCAAGTCATCAGCCTGACCTCTGGTCAATTGCTGGACCCTTGTGGCCACTGTAGGTAACTTTTATACGTTTCTAATCCCAACCGGGGTTCATTCTTGTAAAGCACCAACAGAGGAACGGATCTGGCAATTTATTGACAGCATATTGCAATATCAGTGTTAACAACTCCTGTGTCCTGTCAAGGACAACAGCATCTAGCATGTGATATATCATGCATATCTGTATCAAATATTTCATGGCTCGTGTGTCTCAAGGAACAAAAACTCAATGTCTCAAACATGATAACAAAAAAAATAGAACTTTTTCAGATGGTGGGTAGAAAACAAAATTCAGACCAATGTAGATAACATCATAATCTATTGAAATTATTATGACGTATGTGTGAAGAGAGTGGACCTACCCCACAGTGATATCAAAGATGTTACTCCCGACAGAACTGGAAACGGCCATGTCACCATATCCTTTCTTGGCAACAATGACGCTTGTGATGAGATCTGGGATGCTCGTCCCAGCTGCCAAAAAGGTCAGTCCCATTATCTGAAAAGGAGCGACTCAGGTCAAGGTCAAGGTCAAACAAAATGATGCCCAGGTTGAAAGGCAATGTGTTCAAGGTTAGCTTACTTAAACCTCTCGCATCCCTAATTCCAAAGCATCAGTGTCACCTTTGACCTTTGACTTGGTTATGTATCAGTAACTCTGACTTGACAACTATAATATTAATATTTTTTTTCTCTCATAGGATTATTTAAAAACATGAATTCACTTTCAGTTAAACAATGAATAGAAGTTTTAGTTATTCTGTATAACTGTTTGGATAAAGGAAAGTGACATGTGTACAGAGCCGAAGGTGGTAATTGCAGTTCTTGTTGATTTGTTGTTGTGGTAGTTTTTATTATTACTATTTCAAGTTCAAAGGAAGGTTATTTGAGTGTGCTATGTTCCAGTCCTGATTTTTAGTAAAAGATTTTGTAAATTACAATTTACTTTTTATATTTTACTGATCTCTGAAACAAATTGTTCAACAAATTATAGTCTGTTTGGCTCATAATCGGACCGATGAATTGCAATCTAACTCGAAAACTACTAAACAGATAATACTCAGTGAAACACTGAACATTATCAAAACATCATTTTGCAGAATTTATGTCCTAAAATTAAAAAAGTTGTCTAACAAACTATTATTAAAATTTTGACACAGTTCACTATTTGTTACGAGCGAGGGGTGCAAAGAGAGGAACAGCACAGCACAGGTAAATGATTCAATAACTTTGTCGGCACTTGTGCACATGCTCCGCGTACATCTGGCTGCTCTTCTCTTTGCACCCCTCCCTCGTAACAAATAGTGAACTTTGTCCACTTTTGAGCGGCACGGACTATAGTGTAAATTATTTTTAAATGTAGTCCAGTTAACCATCTAGTATCAAGCCCGACAGTCAGGGAATAAGTTTGGTTTAACTTTGACCAACGTTACAGTAATGTCTGAGCATGACAGCTTGATATGGAAAGAATGTATGAATTCATGAATCTCTCAGAGTGAGTGAGTGAGTTGGGTTTCATGCTGCTTTTAGCAATATTCCAGCAATGTCACGGTGGGAAACACCAGAAATGGGCTTCACAAATTGTACCCATGTGGGGAAACGACCTGGGCCTTCAGTGTGACAAGCAAATGCTTAAACCACTGGGCTACCCCACCGCCCAAATCTTCTAGATGTTTACCTGTTTGGTGAAAAGGATGACTATGGCTTTGGCCTGGGCATTCTTCAAGAAATCCATGGGATTTCCTGGAGATTGCCCAGGACACTGACTGCAGAGGTTTACTCGGTAAAAGAAGGAACCCAACTGAACGATAGAGCGATGTCACTACAGGTCCATAACCAGGATTCAAGTTTCTGACATGCCCAAACTAAAGAAAGCAGACACAACACATTGTGAATGTCTTTGTTGGGAGAACTTAAGAACAATAAAATTATGTTTAGCAGGGAGGGCAATGAAAATTTGAAAATTTACTTGTTCAAGCATGAAACATGTCAGAGAAGTCATTTCTCACCCCAAACATTTTCCATTGTGTTTCGAGACAACCCTGGCACTAATGTCCCTACAGTTTACCTACCTCCGGTTTGATGTCGAGTGCAGTTCCAGTCTCATTGGCCAACCACACCAAGACGTAGGAGAAGATGGCAATCGACAAGATACTTCCAATAAAGGAACACACAAACCATTTCTTCTTCTCCTGAAAGTAAACACATATTTCATGTATTGGTTTTTTATCATTTAACATAAAAGTGACCTCGAGAAATCAACAGTTTCTCATATATTAGAGGTTGGTTTCATACAAAGAACTGATGTGAGGAATAGAACCTTGGCTCTTAGTGTAACAGGCAGTCACCTGAACCAGTGGGCTACCTGAATTTTCATTTCTTAAATCCATTTATTAAATCCTAACTTTGGATTTTCAATGTAACTTCTATTTATGAATTATTTTTGATAACAGATAAAACACCTTGATCACTTCGGCTAAGATCATGGTTCCACACTAAAATTCCTTCCCATGAAGAACGTATTGGCATTTTCCCTCTGTAATTGATTTTTGGATGAGTGTAAAAACATGGATGAAAATATAATATATTTACACAATGAGTATTTTCACTTCAGTAATTCACTGGGTATATTCACTTCAATAATTGACTATGTATATCACTTCAGTAATTCACAGAGCACCGACACTTCAATAATTCACTGGGTATATTCACTTCAGTAATTCTCTCCTTCCACTAAATTGCTGGCTTAAGATGTAAACAGTACGGGCACAGTCAGTAATGGTTGGGGAAACTGACCACTTTGTGATCTGTCTGACAAACATCTCCTTAACTATCCACTACACATGTGTTCTTCAGATTTTCATTTAAGAAGTTGTCCAGTCAACTAGCAGTATATTCAACTGACACACAGGGCAATATTACCAAACTTTTGCACGACACTTCAAGTATGAAGGCAAATTCATCACCTGTCTGAGTACAGCATATTTCAGGAAAAGCGATTACGGTACTTACGATTGTTTTCTTATCTAATTATATACTGAACAAAAGTAGTTAGGGATCGTCCATATTTGTGAGCGGATTGATATTCTTCAGAAATTGTGTGCTTAGGCTTCACTACAAAAAAATAAATCCCAAAACATATGACACCTAACTTTTAGGGCTCATTATATATCTGAAAATGTTTCTCACAAAATTCTGAAGTTATAAATGTAGACTATACTTCACGTTCATTGATATGAGACATTGGACATGGTTGTTATTTTCATGAATAGACGTTATGCTCAATTAGTTGATACTGTACTGAAGCCGTTCTCGAACAAAGCTATGATGATCAATCGTCCAAGGTATTTATGGTAACAGAATGAGGATATAAAACCCTGGTTGATCAAGGACGTGACTAGGCAGTTTTTCACATACACCACAGAACCGAAAGCCCTTGATTTAAATTTCCGCTGATTCACGGCGTCATGTCAATCTAGCAGTAAGAGGTGTGATCCCAATTTGATGATGCATCTCACAAGTGCCTTATAAGGTATTAAACAATCGGTATTTGGCATTCTAGACTGGAAACAAACACTAAGTCCAACCTTTTTTGATTTTGTTACTCCATGAAATTCCCGTCAGGTTGATAAGCTTGTCAGTTTCTGACATTTGTATGATTGATAGTCAACAAATTCATTGCAGTCAGGATAAAAGCTTAAGTGATTATTTCTTGAATGTATATGAGCAAATACCTATATATTGATTACAGGTCCTGCATACTATACTTGAGATATGCCAGTGTTAGCCATATTGTCTGGTCTGGTTGACGCACACAAGCCCCATCATTGATCTGATATTGATTGATTGATTTGGAAAGGCTTAGTTTCCACATCACATATTCAATACATAATTAACAATGTTGCAATATATGTTCAGGGCCGATCTAACGACTCTGTAATTTCTGTTTTATATACATCGGGATATATTATTATCAGGAGCAATTCTATAGTGTTTTCTTCTCCCAAAGTTGTTGTCTTTGCCATGGAAACGACAAGAAAGTCCCATCCATAATCAAGTGTAATGTCACAACAGAAATGGATATGTGTATGATCTTGAATACTTAAATATCAAACATATATTTCTGATGGCTGATTCATGGCGAGAAGATGCATGTAGGTTGTTGGTCCAGCTTCTGTGTTGAATATACCATAAAGATTTTAAGATCAAGTTTGGACCAAGTTTTCTTGGAGATCTACAGTGATATATGGTGATATCTGTTTAATAGTAACCAGACATTTGGCCCCGATTTCTCGAAACAAACTTAAGTTTTTACTCAAATTTCAAACTGAGTTTGACAATTTGAAACAGCTGAATTTATAACTCAACTGCATTTTTAAAATAAAAAAGCCCACACAACTTAAGTAATCCATCCACCAAACTCAAATTGTCTAGTATGTTTGAGTTTAATATCAATTTCAGTTCATTCAGCTAAATGCATTTTCTCTATTTGAGTAAAAACTCAGACTTAAGTTTGTTTCGAGAAATCGGGGCTTGATTTCTACAACGAAAACAACCATGATGAATGTCTACGTTCCCATACAACCAATGTTGGAAATATTAAACACGTACCACTAAAAACAAGTACAAGAATAACTATAACATGATTCAGTCAGACTACAAAGTAGCAAACTAAATTTAAAATCAACAAGACCAAACTGTTGAACAGAGATCATAATCATCACTATGGCAATAGAAGGTTGTTTTTTAATTGTGTTATATTTCAGTCCTGATTGGTTGTAAATTACATTTTCATTTTAAAAATTGTCTAAAACAACAAAAGATCATATGTGAAATTGAATGAACTGTGAATACATCACAAAACATTACATTGGTCCATCAGAACCAACAGTCGAATCAGGTAACTATTTATGTAATGAAAAATATTGTTTCAGTTCTCTACTTTTCAATAAGAGTGAGGGAGTGAGCTTAGTTTTACACCACTTTCAGCAATATTTCAGCAATATCACAGCAGGAGACACCAGAAATTTCAACAAGAAACCATGGTCCTCAAAATAATTCTGAATACTTCCAAAACAAAAGACAGCGTCATGTGCATCTTTTGAAAGAGTGAGTAAGTATGGTTGTACGCAGCTTATAGAAATACTCCGTTAATATTCCATTAATATTCCATTAATATCTCAGCAGGGTACATAGAAATGGCCGTCACACGTTCCTTTGTCTGAAATTTAACCCATTGGTTCCTATGGTATGATAAACCAATGTCTTTACCATTAGGTGGTATCTACCTGCAGAAATACACTCAGATTTCAGGCACAAAATGAACCATTGCTCCCCGATAATATGACTGGTGTTTGAGGTAATAAACATGGTACCTATATACTCATTACACAACTGTACACAAGAAGGGAGTGTTATTGATTTTTTATTATGAGGAACACAATGTTTCGGAGTATATACTTACTCCATCATGATGGGTATCACTTCTAAGATGCCATTCAAAGACCCCCATAAACTGTTGATGTTTACAACATGATACTCCAAATTAAATTTATTGCTGTGCACCACATTTGAGATACACAGGAATGGGCACAAAGATTTCAACTTAACACGCAGATTGCGATATCTCATTTTTTTCAAGCAGAAACTTTAAAACTTTACCCTATGTTGATGAGATTTGCATCTGACCTTTTAAAGACATATCATAAAATTACCACGCCACCTGAATCAGGAATGAAGCAATGTTACAAAGGTCAAAATGTCTTGATCTATACATTCCACGTGACCTAGTAATTATGGAGGGCATAGACTGCTGTCAGACATGAAAAGGGTGTATCTCCTTCCCAGATTGTATATTCCAAATGAGTGCTGAGTTTGTATTTTACATCCCATCCGAGCAACAAGAACAGGTTAAGGGTTTCCTTTGTTTGAAGCTTTCAGAAGGTTGTTAAACAGAAAACTTCATCAGTCTCATATCAAATTTATCATAAAAGTTTAGACATCCTTAATGAGTTTAAATATTTATGGGCAAGTGTTATGCATTTGATTGTGGGATTCTATTTAGCAGCCAAAGTCATTCTTCCTGTTTTTCAATTTGTAAACAGGAATTACCAATGTTCTGGAATAAAGCTGAAGACCAGCTTCAGTGGCACCAGAGTTTGTGATGTCATGGCAACTGATGATGTCACAGTGGACTGCAAAGCATTGTGATGCAATCCTGATCTCACATGAGCATTATCTACAATGGCAGCTTAGGAATTTCACTGTAGCAATATCTCACTGGGGATATTTGTTGATTTCCTAAAAGCGTTATCTCCAGTGGAAGCAAGTTTGGGATGATAAAGCTTAGGAATTTCATTGTAGTAGTATCTCATTGAGGAATCATCTGATGCAGCTTGATTGCAGTGATATCTCCTTGGAGATATCTCTTGATTTCACACAAGCATTATCTCCAAATTGGGAAGGAAGTTTTGGAAGATGACGTTTAACATACTTACAGACACAATGAACGTACATAGGCTTCAAGTCAATAACCTTACACCACCTGTACACTGCATTATACATTCATATATAAATCAATATCTGATGAAAGCCCAAATGACAATTTCAAGAGCTCTAACTACACAAAGGCCTCTCATTTCAGCATCCAGGCAACACATCTGTTAGTTCATTCCCGACTCAATACATTTTCTGCAATGATAATAAGCATACTTTGGACATCATCCGACACTCTGCTAGCAGCTTGTAGGCATGATGGGGATTATCAGAAACTGCCAGCATGCTTTTTGAGGAATGCTTTGAAAGGTATTAATGTTTATATTATCCATGAGGGACCATTAGTACTCACTGGGAAAAGGAGATGATTTTGATATCAGTAAGTTGAGGTGTGACTCAATTTTAGTCAGTTAACAACAGCTTCATCATCAGTGAGTAGAGTTCAATCTAAACAAATAATCTTCCACCTACTCTACACTGATGACACCTTCATCAAGAAAAATATGTTTCAGGGTGTGTATGCTCTCTCGAAGAAGCCATCTACATAAACTTTTGAAACATCCTGAAATAGAGGCAAATAAGTAAGTGAGTGAGTATTGTTTTACGGCACTTTTAGCAATATTCCAGCAATATCATGACAGGGGACACCAGAAATGGGCTTCACATATTGTACCCATGTGGGGAATCGAACCGGGTCTTCAGAGTGACGAGCGGTGGATGCTTAAAGGCAAAGAAACATAAACATCCACTCTTGAATGACTTTGAGGTAGCTACCCAACAAGCCATGAACACAGACGTATTGGCAATCTTTTACGACATTCTGTATTTGTTTGCATATTACCTTCCTTCTGACGTCAGGCAGGAAGAACCACAGAGGGAAAATGATGGGTGCCAGGAAAAGGTAGGTGCAACGTTTACGACAGGTGTCTGGCCAACTGAGGTCAAGGGGTTCCTCTTCCTCCTCCCATCCTGGGGTCTGCAAGAACAGATAACTCTGAATTATGATAATGTACAGGGGAGGTAACTCCAAATCAGGACAATGTGCAGGGGAGAAAACTCTGAGAAGGGAACTTAATTCTGTATTAAAGATGCATAATAACATAAAAGTAAAACAAAGAGCAGAGAAAGATATAATTTGATATTCTGAGTGAGTGAGTGAGTGAGTGAGGAAAATCATGATGATGGACAAAAGAAACGTGCTTCACACATTGTACCCACGTGAGATCTGAGCATGTGACTTAGGCATGACAAGCAAATTCTGTAACCACCAGGCTACCCCACACACTCTTTAAAATTCAGAAATGGGGAACAGGATTTATAATCAGATTTTTTGTTCTCAGCAAAATCCAGCATTTCCAATACTTTTGAAACATTTCATATTTAAATTCGATGTCAAATGGGGTTAGTGCATGATTACTAAGAAACAAGTATCCCACCTCTGATTTTGAATCATTGCTACTCTGGGCTTCATCATCGCCTTCCTGTTTTCCATCAACAGCAACATTGACATCTCGTCGTGTCACTTTACCATTCTGATCTGGTTCCTGGTCCACCATTGTTAAGGCTGTTTCTTGACTCACAGAAGGACTACCTTTTCTGAGTGACCCTGTGGACTCATAAGCAGGTGACACCTTGCCGTTGGAGATGACATTAACTTGCATATTGTTGTCTTGGTCCACATTGCCATTCTGCTTGGCGCCATCTTTGGAATCCATGTTGATCATAAGCTGTAGGCTAGCCATTGCATGAAGAGCCACTGCCTTGTCTTGAACTTTCTCTGCAAAAGAAATGTGAATATGGTTTCATAACTTGGAAAACTAATCTGAATCAAATTCTCTTTAAGTCAATATTTTATTTGTCTGCTACCTCAAAGTTTATAAAGTTTTTCAATTCCACAAACTCAATGTTTCAGTTAAACAAAAAAAGAATGCTCATCACTTAACAATCCTATCCAGATGTAACTAATGTTTGACAATTATTCATGCTTTTATTGTTTGATGGCAAACATTCAGCTTTGCTACACATTCTGAGCACCCATTCCTAATACACATTTATGACAATTGCTAAGCTCTTCCGCCACATGTGCTGTTTACAGCAAGTGCTTGTCACAGTCCATAAGACAGCATGTCAGTTCTGACCAGGTTTTTCAAGGCGATACACTCAGGGTTTGACACTAAGGCATGTGCGAACGACATTGTCTAGTACATAGTAGTGCATACAGTATTGGCTTACAGCCTGCGATACGATGCATCACGATACTAACATCTTAGTCGCAACGATATATTGCCAAAGTATTGTGCACTGAAGCTGCGATACGATATGAATCCTGATACAAGGTTGGCGATGAGATACGTATCACGATACTAAAATCTTTAATTCTTTAAACACCAACTATAAAACACCTTAAGATCAAAACAGAACCATTTCGTCAAATTCCGCCAGTGTTTTACAATTTTCATTCGGAAATGAGATAATTAGGTTTATACACAGACTTTGTGAATGTTAATAAATTGCGAGCGTTATGTTTGACACAATTTCTGACGCAAGAATTTCCGAGAAACTTACGAAGGGAAAATAAGTATGCATATATTTTAATCATCAAACAAAAGTAAGTCTTTCTTGACAAATATCGCGATTCGGCCATATTCAAAGTTAAACACTGATGTATTGTGGCCCATTTGAAATATCGTATTGGGATATACGACAATGTAAAACTAGTATCGGCGGCCCATGGATCGATGCATCGATGTGTGTCGATGAATCATCACACTAGTAAATAGCTAGTCTGGACTAGTTAAAATTGTGTCTGGCTTGCCCGACTGGTCATATAGATGTTTAATTAATGCTGTTTCAAATCACCATATTTGTTTATTATCTTTTTAAAATATCTTGCACAGCATCATCTATTATAATGCATATAATAGGGACTGTTATTAAACTTAAGTGTAAAAAGAGTATAAAAGCTACACTTTAATGATAAACATTCTTCAGAAAAATCAAAGCGTTAAGGTATACAGTATTCATAATGGACAAAAGAAAAAGAACAATTATCACATATTTTTGTGTTTAATATAGTTTGTTCTTCCAGTATGCACTATAAACCTGCTGATTTTATGATCCACTCGTCCACTGGTCTAGTAGCAAAAAATGTTAACATCAAACCCTTTATCACCATATTTGTGATGCACACATATGACTGACCAGCGGGCAGTTCAGATTTCCATCTATATCTGAGAATTGCTAACTGACCAATGAAACAAATGTCACTACTCATGTGAAAACACAAGTAAACATTAAACTGAATAATTTATTTCTATCACCAATCTTATTTGTGTATTTCTATTTTGGTACTTCCTTCTCTACAAACATGCCCATTCCATGCCTCTTTAAGAGAGAACACAGAATATATTCTTAAGATTAGTCTGAGGAAAAAATGTATGATAAAATGTATGGTTTAATGGGGGATTTATGTACATTAACTTTTTTATTATAACGAACGTGAAATTCTGGAATGAATTCTTAGTCCTGAATAGGCTCCAAAACCTTGAAACTTCACCCAATCATCCATCATTTTTCACCCCTCTAAATGCCTTTCAAAGACTTTAAATTCATTCTTTATTTTATATATGTTTAGTACAGGAGAAAACTTTGTTTATAAAATATGATGTGGAAATAATCAATTGATGTTGTGTAACCATTATTATTAATGACGAATATTCTTTCACAATCTTTCTGTGTCAAAGCAATAGCTTCTGTCATACTGACCTCAAAGCTGAAATACAGTGTCCTCTTGAATATTGAGATGATCATCCTAATGATAAAGTCATTATTGGAGTTCTTTTTATGTATTTCCATCGTTCACAAAAAAATAACGACCTCGCTGATGATGTTATCAACTCCTAATTACAGGTACCGAAGATGTTCCGGTGATTGACAGTCTCAACACTGCAGTAAATCTGCAAGCCCTTCTTTGCCTGTCCCTTAATAATTGCTATTCTCAAGGCATACATTAGAGCATATTGTCAGTGTCAAGGTTCTTAGCCTATGCTCATCAGTGCAGCTTAGTGTACGTGATGACGTCTCCAGATTGCAATTCATTAACGTGTTATTATAGATTTCCAGCAGAAAACATCTCCTGATTATACAGTTGGTTTCCTGTGCTTGCTCAAAATCTATTAGATCAGGGATCCAACAGTCAAGGCCTCTGTGAAGTTTTTGAAAACTTTTATCGTACATATGAGGACAATTCAAAATTTAAAGCATCTGGTATAAAAACGACATTTGATTGAATTCCCAAGCTGGACAGTAGGAATCGGACAAAATGCGCTTTGATTATTGTAGTTGTTTTTGTATTGAGGATTTTGACATCATGTCGTAAAACCCAGGCTTGTCGAAACAGGCCACTAACGGGATCGGGTGGTCAGGCTCTCTGTCTTGGTTGACACATGTCATCATATCCCAATTGCATAAACTGATCCTCATGATGTCAATCTTTGAACTGTCTGGTCAACTCAGGTATTTACAGATTGCCATCAGATAGCTGTAATATTGCTGAGTGTGGCATTAAACATACAAAGAAATAGGACACTCGCGCACACAACATTTATGTTCTGCATTGAGTTAGTGAGTGAGTTCAGTGTTTACGCCGCTTTTAGCAATATTCCAGCAATATCAAGGCGGGGGACACATTAAATGGTCTTCACACATTGTACCCATGTGGGGAATCGATTCGGGGCCTTCGATGTGACGAGAGAACATTTTAACCACGAGGCTACCCCACCAGCTTGCAATGATTACAAATCCATACCAGCAGATAGCATAAGGATTCAGAAAAACCACAATAAAACAGGATGACTGACTGACTGAGTTTGGTTTTACGCCGCTTTTAGCAATATTCCAGCAATATCACGGTAGGGGACACCAGAAATTGGCTTCACTCATTGTACCCATGTGGGGATTCGAACCCGGGTTCGATTCGGCATGAACCAACGCTTTAACCACTAGACTACCCCCATACCGCCCAGAAACACCACAATAAAACCGGATGAAGTTAAGTTTATGGACATTGATATATCATTGAATGTAGCACCCAAACTTGAGTCACCTAAATATGTACTATTACAGAGCGGTCAAGGAGTATTGATCGTCACTGTTTCTGATATTGAACAGGTAATAACGCTGATGAACAGGTGACTGTGGACAATGAGATTATATATTGGCGGGAGAGATGGACCCCTGGTGGTCACTGGGAAAGGTCAGTCTAATAAGTTATCAAGTCAGAAAATGGAATTTATATAATATGTATCCATTCTCAAACAAAGGTTCATTTCAACATGGGGGCGGTGGGGTAGCCTAGCGGTTAAAGCGTTTAATCTTCACGCTGAAGACCCGAAATTGATTCCCCACATGGGTATAATGTGTGAAGCCCATTTCTGGTGTCCCCCACCACGATACTCCTGGAATATTGCTAAAAGCGGCGTAAAACTAAACTCACTCACTCCTTTCATCATGTCAACCGTGGTAATCTGATCGTGGTTGCTGTAAATAATGGCGAATTGGTGCGATCTGCTTACCCCTTATCACATGATTTTGTTGAATTAATGAAAACGTTGCTGAGGGAAAATCTGAATAAAATTAATAAAATAGATGACAAAATAAAGGCCAGGAATACAATGTATATTATATATAATACTATAGTTTAAGAATAGGTTATCTTATGCAAATCAGTATTGATTTGTTGGCGTGTGTTTTCTGATGATGGAAAGATGTGATTTGGAGTAAAATAATGAAAATGATGAGAGACATTGGTTTAACTGAATCAGTGGTGTTGCGAACAGAGCTATAGCAAGAGATATCTGTACATAGATGTGATGGCTTCATCCACAGTGCACATACCTCTCACAGGTACCGCTTCTGAGACAATATGGTACATAATGAGAAACCCCTCAAAATAACCAGTACATTGAATCCACACAATTTACCAGTAACACGTATCAGTACAGATCAACATATATATGGTAGTTATGTTGGTGTATTGCCAGTTCTGGTGTATTTAGAGCCTCCGCCCGAGAGAGGTGCAGGATTCGATCCCTCTGTCTGGTAGGTAACAACTGGTCGGCTCATTGAGGGGGTATTCATGCTTCACTGCGGCATGGTATCAACACTATAAAACCAGCTTAAGTCTGGGCTAAGGTGTACACATACACGTGCAGGGGCCAGTGTGGGACAACTTTTACTGAGTGTGGGAAACTTTTTACTGTGTAATCCCAAATATAACATGTGTAACTTATTAGTTGTCAAAACAAAGACTTAATCTGATATTGTGAGTAAACGGGCATTGAAACCACACCAGAACCTGCATGATTTGATCCTACTCTTCAAAGAAGAACACTCAAACAAACATATCTTCTCAAACTTGAAGGTGACTGACTGACTGACTCTGCTTTTAGCAACTATTCAAGCAACATCACGGGGGAACAGAAATGGGCTTCACAGGCCCATATTCGAACCGCTTTGGCGTGATGAGCCAACGCTTTAACCATTAGGCTACCCCACCCCCAGGAAGGTGAACATCAACAGGCTATTGAACAATCAGATTTACCAGCTTGGACTTGAATACATGATGTGCGAGAGGAACATGGCTTCCTATTTGTTAGCTTGTGGATCATTGCTTATCTGAAAATATGTATTGACGTGTGATATGTGACTTGTGATATGACTTGATATGTATGTGTAAAGCCATGGACATGAATAATGTACATGTATCGTAAAACACTCTTTGGTTTGTTGTGTTTCTTTTTCATCATGGTATTTACTCTTTCAAAGCATCACGCCTCCATAATTAGTCCAACACTGTTGGTAATTACTCTGATTAGATTAAGAGAGGCCAGTGTGGGAACACTTAAGTGTTCTGGGGCCACTATGGGAAGGGTTGTTAACTAGGCGTGAAAACTGAGGGGCCACTATGGGAAGGGTTGTTAACTAGGCGTGAAAACTGAGGGGCCACTGTGGGAAGGGTTGTTAACTAGGCATGAAAACTGAGGGGCCACTGTGGGAAGGGTTGTTAACTAGGCTAGGCGTGAAAACTGAGGGGCCACTGTGGGAAGGGTTGTTAACTAGGCGCGAAAACTGAGGGGCCACTGTGGGAAGGGTTGTTAACTAGGCGAAAACTGAGGGGCCACTGTGGGAAGGGTTGTTAACTAGGCGTGAAAACTGAGGGGCCACTGTGGGAAGGGTTGTTAACTAGGCGTGAAAACTGAGGGGCCACTGTGGGAAGGGTTGTTAACTAGGCGTGAAAACTGAGGGGCCACTGTGGGAAGGGTTGTTAACTAGGCGTGAAAACTGAGGGGCCACTGTGGGAAGGGTTGTTAACTAGGCGTGAAAACTGAGGGCCACTGTGGGAAGGGTTGTTAACTAGGCGTGAAAACTGAGGGCCACTGTGGGAAGGGTTGTTAACTAGGCGTGAAAACTGAGGGGCCACTGTGGGAAGGGTTGTTAACTAGGCGTGAAAACTGAGGGGCCACTGTGGGAAGGGTTGTTAACTAGGCGTGAAAACTGAGGGGCCACTGTGGGAAGGGTTGTTAACTAGGCGTGAAAACTGAGGGGCCACTGTGGGAAGGGGCACTCCGGGCATAAATCGTTATGTTGGAGCCATTTAATGGTGAACCAAAGTTTCAGATGTATTTCATTGTTATGGTATGTCGTGGTGTGTTGTGTAGAAAACTGATAAATCAAACCATATTGTCCACATATCAGTGTTTCATCACAATGCTATACAATCAGGTATCATCACTCTCTAGCTGTTTACGTCAAATGGAATCTGCTTCGGGAAATATCAAAGGTATTCTGTGCTGTTGAGGTTTGTATTTGCTAACATATTCCTATGGTAATAGTTATTATGTTCTTTGACTATTTATCTGATGTTGTCTCTCATAAATGATTTCTTGCCAAACCAGGCAGAGTGAACATGCAAACTGAATTTATTTATGTCTTGTGCTGTTTTTGAGAAGTTTATTTGAAATTTGGAGCTGTACTTATGCCAGGGAGACCTGACCAGTAGCATCTGACAACTGAGCAGCATCCCCTAAATTTGCCAGTATTCCTAAAAGCTGACCAGTATCCCTGGCAAATGACCAATATCCCTGACTACTGACCAATATCTCTGGCAACTGACCAGCATCCCCTGAATTGACCAATATCCCTGGCAACTGAACAGCATCCCTGACCAAACTGACCAGCATCCCCTAAATTGACCAATATCCCTGACTACTGACCAACATCCCAATATCCCTGGCAACTGACCAGCATCCCCTGAATTGACCAATATCCCTGGCAACTGACCAGCACCCCTCTGAATTGACCAATATCCCTGGCAACTGACCAGCACCCTCTGAATTGACCAATATCCCTGGCAACTGACCAGCACCCTCTGAATTGACCAATATCCCTGGCAACTGACCAGCATCCCCTGAATTGACCAGTATCCTTGGCAACTGACCAGCACTCTCTGAATTGACTAAAACTCCCTTTGACCAATCCAGTAATTAATACTTTCAATCCAGTACAATCCATATCAATATCATTTACCTAATGTACGTTCAACCTTGACACGTTCAATATAACCTTTCATATCACCGGGCCCGAGGCATTCATACAGTCAGTAGGAGTCTGGGGCAAGATCAATTCTCCATCCATTACATGTGTACACTTGTAGGTAAAGGTAGGCATCTATAGAGAGAGCTTCATAAACGTGTCAGGTATACATATAGAAATCATGGTGAACATCCTGGCCTATGAGCCAGTGACCTTTGGAAAATTCATGTTTCATGTTAGATGAGTTTTTTTAGTTTAATTTATAATGTTAATATTAAATCTCAATTTTGAATGGTTTTTTGGTCACTGGTAATTAATGACACGTAAACAAATTAATAATTATGAACTCTTAAACTGTTTACTTCCCATATTAAAGTTTCCTTCACTCAAGTGAACAAGGAATTGTAACGATGACTGAAATATTGATGCACTGCGGTTGCTCATTGTCTGATTGTATCATATTTCACTGTCAAGTCAAAATCGATGACATCAATGCCACAAAAAATTGTCAGTACTGCCGATAGACAATTAAAATAGAATGATACCGTTCTCATAACCCATCCAAGGTAGACCTTGTATGAACAAACATGTGAATATCAATAAAGAATTAGTAATAATAATAATAATCAGAGGCAAATAAACAGAATTCCCTTTTTGTAAAACAAATGTCCATTTATAAAATGAATTGAAGCCTTACCTGGACCAAGAGGGTCAATTGTATGGATCATCAGTTGCAGGACGCCATGGCGGAACCGACTGCTCCCTCCGTGAAGAACTGGCAAACTGCATGGCCGCTCACCTTTCTGTAACACAGACAAAATAATCTTAGCGTGAGTGTGGAAGTTGGGTTTAATGCTATCTAACGTATTCTTCTCCCAAGGTCTCCTGTCACAGGATAGGTTGCCCCCCATGTTGTGGATGGGTACCAGGAAGTATATACAGAAAACTGAGTTTATAACGAACTCAAAGGACCAATAATTTTACTGCATAATAACTGTAGTACATTACACATATTTCATCTAAAACTGACTGCAGGTGTCTCGGACAAAAACACAATATACTGTACATTATATATCTTAAATTCATACGTTGGGGTGTTCCTCTTGAATCATACAACTTCAATAAGTTATAGGAAGCTGAACACAACAGGTTAAGGCTACAACCAGGAACATAAATCCAGAGTGAGTGAGTAAATGTTCCTCTAAGCTGCTTCAGCGCATAAATACAGAGTATTCACATCAGCATGCGAAATAGTTTCCAAATTTTGCTAGCCAGCTGGGCTAGTTATGCCTGAAAGTTACTAGCCCACTTAATAATTCACTATCCAGAAATTTGAATATAGAAACTAAGCAAAAGATTACAAGAATAGATGAGAATAAGATATTGTTGGCATGACAGCGGTTTCATCATTAAGCTGCTAATATTAAAAACATTTATATCAGACCATAATCTTGTTTGATTTAAAAGTGTATTATAACTTAACAAGTCGGAGAGAGTGATATATTTACAAGTAGATGGCCCCATGAAAATTCACTAGCCAGTCGGGTCAGTGACTGTGGAGATTTACTGGCCTGACTGGATTTTTACTAGTCACGGGCTAGCGGGTCAGTGGCTATTTCGCACACTGATTCACATAAACATTGTTGACTTATATACATTTGATACTTTGGGATATTTAGACAGAGGCTGATAGATCTGACAGAGATCCTCAGACCCTAAGAGAGTAGCATGGAGGTTGTATTTTTCGCTTAAGCTTTTTGGGCAGTGGTCATTTTGACATTTTCAAAATGCAAACCTACAAAGTTGAGGCCCTGGATGTATAGAACATGGTATATGGAAACAATGTCGATATGCTCTTATGGAGAATTTTTTCTAATTTCCATGGAAACAAATAGATGGATTGACAAATACTGAGGTTCTCCGTTTGAACTGATGGTCTCAAGAAAGCTACCAGGTACAATGGACAGTAACAGTGATGGAGAAATGGACAATAGATAAGTATCCCTGACAAAAGTTGATTTTGACACCGTGAAGTTGACCCCAGACACTGACAATTGGTGTAAACATATTCGCAAAATCATTTATACAACTATCAGTCAACAGTTTTAATGAGATGGTGACTGTGAGTTACTTGATACATCATGGCTATCTGACCCTAAGTTTCCAGAATGTCAATATCACCCTGTCTGGTTTCCAGGTCCTTCTGAAGGAAGTGTTACACATATCTCTGAAACATAATCACTTGATTAGAGACAACATGAATCCCTGACTATCTCCCTACTGTTTGTATGTGGTTTCCATGGCAATGGTGAACAATGCTTATTAGGGGTGTAGACAACTGATGCACCTATCAATGTACTGCAATTATCCAATTATTATGGGCAAATTGCAACACTCCAATTACCTATAACATTGTGTAACCACAGTTAACCTGAGTGGGACTACTATCACTTGTTAAGCGTATGTAAGAAAATATTTGTCAATAGCTTGATATATTGTCAAGAAAATACTTTACTGTTTGTTTTTATCCAAAATAAACTTTATTTGCAAAGACAAGTCCATGACCCTTATATTATTCTTGATATTCACGTCACACTAGAATCATTACTTAAACTTTGAATATTGATAAACCATTTGTGCCTTGATGATATTATACATTCAAAATACTTCTACAACTATTAACTCATTAAGGCAGAGAGACGCATATATGGGGCGAAATAATCAGCTCCTCACAGCGAGTGACGTGTTTATGGGGCAGGTAATTATCAGTTTCTCACAGCGAGAGCCACATATATTCGTCAACAGAAAGCACCTCTTATTCAGCGAGAGACGCAAATGTGTGTCGTACTTTTAAAAATCGCACTGTACCTATTATTTCAATCAATTCAGTAGTACTGAGCAAATATTAGCTTTTCTTACGAGAGATGCAACCTTTAGTGTCAATCAGAAGAAGTATTTAAAGTGTTTTGATAACAATTGCTAATCATTATCATAGGCTTGTACATCGTTTGGCAAATGAACACATGTCGGCGAGAAAGGGGATTATGATGTTTTTACAGAGGTAAGTGTCTGGTACTCTTCATTGGGAATGGATACTAAAATACTTCAAATTCGTATGCACATTGATTGAATTAGATGTAATGGTTTAGAAGTTACTGAAGATTATATTTTCTTCAACTTCCTAATAAATAGGAAACAATACACGAAATTTAAAGGACATACAAAGAATTCAAACACAATAGAATAGTTTGAATTTACTTTTTAGGTATTATTACGTTGTCATGTTTCATATAATGAAACATAATGTATAAACACAAATAATTATACATCCAAGGTCGAATAGATTAGGCATAATTTAACTTACTAATTTGAAGCTTACTGAATTGTAATTAGTTATTTTCCATAATCTAAAGTTAATAATGTTACCTAATCGAATATAAAGTGATAAGTCGCGCCTTTGCATCGAATATATATATACATGTCAGTGTTATTACAACAATGAAATCTTTTACTACGTTTGTTAGTAAAGTTGGTAATTAAAAAAATTCTCACATCTAAACAGAAGTTATTACATGTAAACCATACAAAGGTATTTCAAGCATTTTTGTTCAAGCTGTTGAAAGTTTCATGTTGATTTGAATTGTCAGTTTTCTACGTAATTTACATGAGCATTGTGTAAAACATTTGCATTTGATCTCTGTAATTATCAAATCCGGTGTAGTTATCATGTGTATCAATGAACTCAGTCTCTACTTTAATAAAAGCTGGATAGTATACCAGTTACGGTATCGATACACATACGTATAATCATTCAATCAGATTACAGTAATGAGATAATTGAACACCTCTTTCGACCTTGAAATAACAGCCTCCTGTAGAATGCATATGTAGTTACATCCTTGTTTAAAGGTTTGCCCCGTGACAAGTGTAAAATAAACAGATGCGCTGTTATATCATCGGACAACTTGCTTTATGGAGTCACACCCCTCTCTGTAATGTCTATGCAAGCATGCACATCTGTAATCTTATGAACCTGGTTTAAACATATTTATTTCATGAAAAAACAAAGACAGAATTTTCATGAACTGGATTGTCAACAAGCTCGAAAGAACTTATATGAAGACCGCTCCAATATACATAGATATATGAAACAGTATCATGACAAGAAAAGATAATATCTAAAATGAAAGTAGATGGTATGACATGTAGTCGGAAACTTAAGATCTTATGAACCTCGTTTGCATTCAGTATAAATATAGGCACGCCCACCTTCATAAATATTGGGGGTTGGGGGGTGGGTTGAATTGCAAGTTTATACACTATAATAATTCAGTATACTGTCATTTCGTGAATTCTGTAATACGTGTACTTTAGTTTGGATATTCATTCGTATCAAGGTGAAGATTATATTTACATGTACAGCAAACCATTATGTTTTATGTACTAGTTGTGTGCGTAAAATGTATCTGAAAATAAATACTATCTCTACTCAATGGGTGGATTTCAATCGCTTTGTTTTACTTATCGAAAAACACTAAAATGAGGTCAAATAAACTTGCCAAAGTGTCTATCTACTCCTATTTGTCTTATGTGTATATTTCATACATCGTTACCAGTGTGTATGTTTACAAGACACAAACTGTTACATGATAGCTTGAGTTGATAAAGCCAAAACCCAGCATATCGACTGGTCAACGATATAGCCAATAATCAATCTCTATCCAAGCTGTTGAGTGACCAAATGTGCTCTTCAGAAATTTCGCCCACGCCCCATCACCTGTCCTTTCCTCTGTGACAGGTATCTCATGATGCCATTGGTCACAGATAACATATGACCAGCCACTATATTGAACAGTTGAGATACCGAGCGTTCTATTCGGGAAATTTAATGACGCCCTATCAAGTGACTCTTTGTTTTATGTCTATGCCAGGAATATGTAGTATACATTTTTTATATGTATGTTGGTATGGTCACGTATGTTTTCTGCATTAAATCTAGATGAAACAAAGTGCCAAGCTATGAATGTCCTCTATGTTAGTCCCAGACTAGCGTAATAGTACTTTAATTAAAATAATTCGTATACACTAGAAATGTATCGGCAAAAACGCTATTTTCATCGAAGATTATAAAGTATGTAAGTAAATTCTTCTTAACAGTATGTCATTGTCATAGATGTTTTGTAAATTTAAACCTCACACACTGATATGAGAGAAAGAATTTGTTTATGTGCGTCTCATCTCTTACATACAAAGAATACATGCATATTGTGATAAAATATAAATGTACAAGGTGTACAAGGCCGCCAAAGGTCTACAAGAGAAACTTGCAAACAAATTACATAAAACTTTGCAATACACGATATGTATTCACACCTGCTTTCCTTCAACATATATTTTTACGACACAATTAAACAAACAGGACTTGTTTGTACGACTAGACAGTTTCCTGTCATCCCTGAAACCTGCCAGGGAAATCAGGTGTGATTAGCACTAATTAGTCTCGGCACAGGGAGTGGACAATCAGCGAGGGGTTCCAGGTGTTGAGTAGTGAGGTGGCTCTCCGGCTTAATGAGTTAATATTATTACATCAAAAATTCCAACTACGGGAACAATTAAACACATGAACACACAGATATAGACATTACCTTACTGACACCCCTACATGTGTGAACACTTTACAGAAGACATTACCTTACTGACACCCCTACATCTGTGAACACATTAATGTGTCCATTTATATAGCGCCAAACTCCACACTAGGTATGCTCATAGCGCTAACAATCAAGGCCATTATTACCCCGGA